TGGGCACCAGCTACTGCGGCTTGTTATGATAATAAGCTTTGTTTTGGTTTCTTTCTCTCCTATGGGTCGTTTCCGCAATGTTAGTGCTAGACATATAATCTGTGATTATTCTATTAGATAGACGTAGACATGTTATCGTTGACAGGATCGGTTGCTTTTAGCTGAACTCAACAAAGGTATTTTATATTGTTCAGTTTTAATTATGTATTATATCTCTATCTTATTTAATTTTTTATCATTTTATATGTTTTTATAGTTATGACGGCTACTTCTTGATATTAATTTATTACTTAATATTATTGCGGTAACGATCTTGTCGGGTTTAATATTGCGACTAACACCCACGTCTGTTTTGCGCTGGTCTTTTACTTATTGTAATGCGTTTGTGTCGTTAAGCCTTGAGTTTCTTTATCACTGAAGAGGGTTCACGGTTGAGCCGAAACGTTTGAATGTTTTTGAATTGATTATTCATTTCAATAAAATTTTACACGATTTCCTAACATGAGGAAGGTTGTTTTATTCATATGATATATAGCACTATTAGTCCTGTGCTTGAACTCGGATTGCCTTTTTCCTACCTTTTTATTGCTTAAATAAATATATCATATAAAATTTAATATGAAAATCTGTGCAATTTATACTAAATTCGTTACTGCATCTCAATATAATAAATACTTTATGTTAATATAAATTTAATAATTAATCTAACACAGTATATTCATTAATTTTTAATTAATTAAAGAGAAAATCATAAAGTTACCATCATTGATTGTTTCATGCCATGATAATTATGAAAGTCTATATGGGTTTTTTTATTAGTCGAGCTAAAATAATTCTGACCAACGGGGAATGCACTACCAAACGGATTTTGCAAAGAATAAATAAATTAACAAATTAAATAATAACAAAAAGAAGGCCCGAACCTCGCAGAGTTACGCCGACGTCAGTGTCGTAAGTCCCGAAATGCCTTTGTATGACACACGCGGTCTGTATCGCCTCGATCGCGATGTCGCGCATCACCATACCTTCTTGGAGCTTCCACATAACTATGAACGCGTCGCCAGAAAATTTCAGTACGTCACCGTTGTGTGAGAGTATCTCTTGCACCATAGCGCCGATGTAGCTGTTCAGAGTTTCCGTCAGTTTGGACGGACCGCCTCTGCCGGTCTTCGTGTACTTTTCCGTGAGATCCGTGAAGCCTGCGGTGTACTCTCTGAATTCCTTGGAGTATATTTCTCACTCAAACGAGTGAAAATTCACTCTAAGCAACAATGAAAATACTGCCACTCCGAGTGTGTAGTGAGACATTTCACTTTTCGCAAGAGTGAATATTCCACTTCGACCATAAAGTGAATTTTTACGAGTGAATGTTTCACCCTTATCGAGTGAAGCATTCTTTGACATGCAAAATAAATATTCTTTTTTATTGTACTGTTTCTTAAAACGACTATGATATTTTATCTGAAATCTTCTCGATTATATACCATTTTTATTTTAATATTATATTTGAGAAATATGCTTACCACCTAAATCGGAATCTAACTTGAGATTTCTGGTTTTGAGCCAGCTATATTTTCTACTGTGCTATTTCTCTTTGATTGAGAAATATGTTCCGTATATGTTTATATGTAGTTCTGAACTTTACAGAAATTATACTTTGATGACTTATTTAAAGAGAAAGATCTCACGCGAAAACAAATAAGAGTTTCACGAGTGATGACATGAATTTACTATGAAGATAGAAAAATTCAAATTATTATTAATTATTTAATTAATTATTAATTACTAGTATCTCAATGTTATCGCGCGGCTAGTTTTCAATGACATTATTGTCTCTCCCTCTCTCTGTAGTAATTAATAAATTAAAAAATAAAAAATAAATTAAAGATTAATAAAAAAATTGAATTGAAAATCAAATAAAATAACATTGAAACCTTAAATAATTTGACCAACCTGAAATGTCACCGAGCATCAATGTGGTATAGTATGTTCTCGTGTCGTAATCGTTATAATGATCGAGGATTTCATCGGGGCACATGGAGGCGTATATCTTCGTGTGTTGTTCCAATCGGATACTCGAGGCACGTCTTGAGTCGCGAGCTGTCGATTGAGCGTATACACACCGTATAAATCGAATTAAATATCTATAAAATCTTTTAGTATTCTATGTAATTTACATGTACTTTAGCGCACCGCGCTATGGGGATGATATTGAATGATCTTCATCTAGATTACATTAAATATGAAGCAGATTTTTGTAAGTGGATCGACTGACCTTCCGTCATTACGCCATTCGCGCCTCTTGGTACAGTTTCTGCGATAATTCTTTTCTCCATACTGTAACATGAATCTATATTCTTAATGTTAACGCGCACCCGCGAACGAAAAAGAGCAGAGAATGGAGAATTATTAACCTAAGATTAAATTCTCTCTAGGTTAAGTTAGGCTGAAATAAAAGAAATGTTGTTTACATGAACGATACATGAGCAAATTTCAGAATATTAAGTTGCGATACATTGTATTGCTGATCTATATTTCAAACATCTGCGAGATGTATCGTTCGACAGCATTCATACGGTAAAATCTAAACGGATTTGAACGGATTTGATTTTGAAAATTAATATTGATTTTAATTAAATATAATAATAATTATGGTAAATATATAATCATAATAATATTGATAAAAATTATAATAGAATTATAATTGTATAATAATATTACAATACAATTATAATAATATTATTAAAAATATAGGGAAAAGGACGAGATAAAAGGCAATTACAAGTTTTAAAAAATTAGTATATATTTATTCATTGTACACGCAGATACAAATTATTTTAACTAACAAATTATTTCGAACGTTCTGATCATGTATTGTGGTTATTCTCAGTCAAAATTACAGATTACAAATGATTATCCGTCAAGATTAACGGAATAGATTGTACAATGCGTAATGTTTAAAAATCAGAAAAGTTATGCTTTTTAAGAGAACTTTTTGCTGACAAACGCGCAGGCAATCACTTGAAGATAATCATTTTCAATGGTTATCTGTCCAAAATTGTTAAATTTTCTTCAGGATTTCCAAAGAAAGATTATCATGGTAATACATTATCATCTGCAGACTGGGTTACAAACTAAAAAATGTCAATGAAATTAATTAATATTTTATTCTAGCAAACACAGAATATGACTATTATTAAAAGTAACACGTAATATAACTCCTGTTATATGTCATTAAATAGTAATAGCTAATGAATTTAGAGTGGCAAAATACTTTTATATTATTATCTTTATTAAAAATGTCATATTGGAGATATGAAATAATTAAAAAAATTTGGATGTATATATTTTTTTTTTACAAATTAACTAGTGTTAAAGTGACAGCTTGTAATCATTGTATACGATTATACAGCTATATTTATATTACAACAATGTAATAGTTATATAATTGTGTTTGCTGGGATATGATGTAATCATGTCGTAATCATGAACTTACTGATAATGTAGATATGCACATCTGGAAGCAATTCTAAAGTAGGCACATTCAAAAAATATAATATTAAATATAATAATATTATACTAAATATATTAATGTTATATTAATATATATATATAATAATATATAATATTAATATATAATAATAAGAGTAATAATAATAATGTCATTTATAATAAATAATGCAAGTATGAGATAATTTATGTTTTAACAATATAAAAATAGTCAATACGTGTTTCTTGCGCTACAAATGAGACGTAAACGGCTTTTTGTCTGAATATCCAGGCATTGAGTAAGCGATTTTTCTTGGATCAAATACCATCGACGTTTATTCTCTCCCGCAAAGCATTGAAAATTTCTCGTTGTTTAGAAATATGCAATAAACGTCTGTTCCGAAGAAATGACTTGGTTTTATATAAATGATTAAGAGAAAGAGAGATACTAGTAACTCACCTGAATGAATACGCTGCATTGAGAAACTATTATTGAGATTCGCAATGATTAGTCTCAAGCAACTTTATTCTGAGTCGGAATTATAAAAGAAGCTGGGGTTACTTGCAACGGCGAGTGGAGATAATATCTCCAAATTGAGTGATTGCAATTCCTTCTTGAACGCAGAACTAGTGTAATGTTGCACGTAAGGGTCTGTATCCTGGAAGGTATCAACGACCACGTGAATCCATCTTGTTGTTATTAACATTTAGAAGGATTATTTTTGTTTTCAAATTACCTTCCAATGCTTCAGTTTCCTGAATTGCACATCTATTTTGTGTATAATCAACTGCTGCATATTTATTAGACGTATCTTTGCATCGTACGATTTTTGCGTCGGAGATTCTTTTCTTGTCATGCAGGAATAACAAGTTATTAGAGTCTCTATACTGTAAGCAAACGATATGGAAAATACATTACTACAAATATATTACTCGTCCAACACAAAATGCACTATCGAAAGTGTGAATCGTTGGTTAATTATCTCACACGACAGAGAATTCTCTACAAGAGATAATCTCTTTACGTATGTTTTTTCCTCTTTCTCTCCTATTCTACCTACTTCCTTCCTTTGCTATCATATTTAACGAAAAACATAACTATACATACATGGAAATCTTTCATGTACATTTTTTGTATATCGTTATTAAGTTTCTAGATATAGTTGTAAAGATATAGCAATGTGCGTGTTCTTTGAAATTTTCTGAATTCTTTAATCAAGGATGTTAAATTAAAACAAAAATTCGGTTTGTTTACTACATAGAGTCGAACCAACTTTTTCCTCGACAAAGTTTTATAATATTTTTGTAAAAGAAATTAAATTCTTTTTTTGAGTACATGGTAGTGAGCTTTTCTAAAATTTATGACAAGTATATCTGTTTCGAACAGCTCTAGGTGGTGCGCGGCTAGTTCGTATGCCGTCGAATTATCGTCGACTACTACCTTGAATGCGCGAGTGTAGCTCGTGCTCTCCTATTCAGGAGTCTCGTAAGATGGTGGGAGGAAAGTACCAGAGTGCTCTTGTGTCTAAGAACACGGCGTGGCCCGGTATAGGGCCCGCGTGGAGTTGCCCGGCGCCTCCGCGCTGGAAAGGAACCCCCTTTTCGGAGGGTAATATCACTCAGAATATTGAAACACTGATCCGTCTCCTTTGTGAGCGTCGGAGTTAAGTCCGAATGAGATTCAGCTCTGTTTGGCGAGGGAGCAACAGAGGCTGAATCTGAGATGAGAAACAGGCGAGCGGGACTCGCCTGAACCGTCGCGCACGCGGCAAAGGTTATGTCTCGTAGGGAGAGCCTCAACGCGAATGTACCTCGCGTGCTTGAATCGCGTATGCGGCGAAGACGAAGCCTAACACGTAGCCGTGGACGTGCGTTGACAATGCCGCGTGGGTGACTGACGCTAAGTCTCGTCGAGTCTAGAAGCGAATATCCCTCGCGTGTAAAGTCGCGAATGCGACGATCTATTAAGTCGTGAGTAGACGGATACCAGCGAACTTGGTTCGCGTGAGCGCTGCGCCCCGGGCAGCGGAGTAATAACGAGCGTGGCTGCGGGAGAGCTGCGGCGTCCTGGCAGCAGAATTCTTGATGACAATGACGACTCGCGCGGAGTCGTGAGCCCGACAGTAAGTTCTGTCGGCACTAATACCCGGTATATGCAATACGGGAGATGTCGCGAAGAGAGACGTCGTCCACCGCGGTGGAGACGTCAAGGTAATCCGAAGTGGTCGCGCGAAGCCTTCTCTCAATCCTCGATTGTATTGAGAAGGTGGAGATCTGTGGAATTACCATACACTTCGTAACGCAAATGCCAACGTGTCCTCGGACACTCTGGAGGCAATTAGCCTAACGTGCAAACGCACTCTAAAGGGCTGCGGAGAGTTGTGTAGAATCACCGAAGACCTGAACACAAAATGCCAACGTGTCCTCGGACACTCTGGAGGCAATTAGCCTAACGTGCAAACGCACTCTAAAGGGCTGCGGAGAGTTGTGTAGAATCACCGAAGACCTGAACACAAAATGCCAACGTGTCTACGACACTTTTAAGGCAGTGAAGATTGATGCAGATATGCAAAAAGTATACCCTCTGGTGAGGGAAACAAATGCCCAAACGTGCTTTTGCGCACTCAAGAAGGCGATATGAAGCTAGCTGCTAGCTAGCTAGAGCTTAAAAGAATACCTCAGCGAGGCAGTGACCAGATGCGCTGACGCAGTCAAAAGGCTGGCAAAAGGCAACAGGACTCGAGTGGTCTCGCGCGGCGCCTTATATAGGCGCCTAAGCGAAAATTAACCGCGAGAAGCGGCTCCGACTGACGCGATCGCCGCGTCGCGGCGGGAAACCGGCGACCACGAGTTGATCGGCTTCTGGAGATCGGCCGCCCGCCGTACACGTTCCGCACGGGCACCCAGCTGCCGTCCGGAACAATATCTTAAGACTATTATCAAGCAAATATTCGTTAAATAAAACCATTACTTAAATGAAGGAAAGTAATCTAAGTAATTGCTTCTTTTAACAGTAGATTTTTCTGTATGTATAACTTTAATCGATTAATGTTTAAATTACTGTTTGAAACACGTACTTTATTCGTAACAGTTCATTGAGCGATTTCTCGCCGAGCGTTTGTAGTTTTTCCAAACTGAATTCTGCGTCATTCATGCTGCATCCTGAGACTGAAGGTTTGGATTCGGGTATCGGCGAGATGACCTGATACAGTATAATTTTCCAGAGAGTCTCTATTGTTTTGCTACGTTCTTGATAGAATTTTAACAATGGAAAAAAAGAAGGACAACATACGCAGTTTGACTCTTCTACCGACATCGTTTCGTTTTCCAACGAGCTTTGATTTTTGCAGCAACTTAACAAGAAATCGTAACACCGGTGCCTTGCTGGCTGGTTAGTAATGGTAGCTTGACTGTTTTCATTGCTCATTCTCGGCTTATTTCCTTCAGATCGCTGTTCCTACGTGATTACTCGTGTCAACTTCGATCTCTTTTACAGTAAAGTGACAGTAAAGTAACAGTTCTAATTATGGATTTCAATTTCAGGTCGAACTTGCTTCATTAATATATTAAAAAAGTATGCATTATTATGAAAACACGGAACAAATTTTTTTATATTCCTTAGTTCTTTTACAATTATACTCTGAAGTTATATTTACAAACATTCTTAATATTAAAAAAATCTAGAATATCAGTTGCTTTACTACTTTTATTGAATTTAGTTGTTTTACTGACTTTTACACTTATAAAACTGTTAGTAAATTGCGCTAAGTGTTCCATTATTCTATTTAGACTAAAACAATGTGAATTGTGGACATTATTAATATAAAATTAGATATCGTATAATCCATTGTATGGACGTATAATATTAGATTTCAGGGTTTGAGCCGCGTGGAGGAGACGTATAATATTTGCTGACATATTTTTGGAACTCACGCATAAATATTTCTAATTGATTTTTTAATATATAGAATAAAGTAACTTAAAACTTAATAATTTTGTTTGAAAACTATGGTATATTAGTTGCTTATATTGGCATCAACAGTTTATTTTAATGTTCGTTTTAATGTCTGATTGACAAATTTATGCAAATGATTAAAAAATATTTTGATCTTAACCAACTCATAATTAGGACTGTTACTTTAAATCACTCACTAGACTCTTGCTTACTTGCAATATTTGCCTTTCGTTAATTATTTGCTGTTCCTTGTAGAGGAATTTATCGTTTTTTGCAATGTTCGGTTTGATATGACACGACTGGTCATATATTTCAATACTTTGCGGTGAATATGCGTTGATTCTCGACTTTTTGAATAGGACTTTCATTGTGAAGCTTATCGCGACGCTGAAATAGCCTGGAACAGTAGAATTGGAACAAACTGAGTGAACGGTGATAACAACAATAAATTATATATAAAGATTAGAGAAGGTTAAAGAAAAAAGAACATGTATGTGTTTCTGTTTGGATTTGCCAGTATGTCCTTAATAGCAAGACAAATCATAGCAACGGTTCTTGTGAAATTTCCAAAGTTCTTACCTTTCAATTTCATTACGTAACTCTTATTTATAATTCTGTTATAATTCTTGCGTTCGAATTTATTAAAAATTATATAATAAACAAAAAATTATAGCAATGTTATTACAATGTTATTCAATAACATTTTCAAATATGTTGCTTTTAACGTAGTATGGACAAACTTCAACATTGATCTGAAAATATTGATATTACATAGAGTTATAAAGTTATAAGTAACATTACATTTGTGTTTTCTTAAATATTCTAATATCCGTTCTCTCTCAATACGTACTGACGATATATTTTCTGTAAAAAATTAATAAACCTTTTCACTGAAGTGATTCAACTAAACCAAATGTTTAATTATTTTATTTAAATAGTAAAAAGATTTGCACGGGAAAGAAAACAGTATAGTTGGTATAAATTTGGTTGTGCCAACTAAATCCAATAATAAAGGTATAATTAGGATTTATTAATTACACTGTTTTTTCGAGTGACGTTTAATTTCTTGCGCCATTGTATCTTTTTCACTTAAACTAACGATAAATGATATGTGATGTCATAAAATGAATGATTGACACGATATAATTTTGTTAAAAATGCATTTCATAAAATTACATATTTTTAATATTAATAAAATATTAAGAACTTTTTACATGCGAATTTTGTTTCTTGTCTAATTTTCATAGATTTTTTGATTGATTCTATTAATTTTGCCTTTTTTTCTCTCCTTTCTAATTTCTATTAAAAGATAAAAATGTCAGTTTATTAGAAAAAATATCATTATGATTCTCGAGTTTGATTATATTCGCAAGTCTACTGTAATGAATTAGCACTGTCGTTTTTATCGTTGTCATTATTATTTCCAGACGCAAAAGATGATGTAGGAGCATTTAAATCATTTAAGATATCCTTATTGTTTGACTGATCCATAAAGACGCTGTTGTAGAAATTTGCAGAACCGAATATATCGGAACATTTTGTTAATAAAGGCTTGTAAGAATTTGTAGACACAGAATAAGATGATGTAGGAGGATTTAAGTCATTTAACATATCCTTATTTTTTAACTGATCCATAAAGACCCTCTTGTAGGAATTTGCAGAATCGAATACATTGGAACATCTTGGTAATGAAACCTTGTAGGAATTTGCATTGGTACATTTTGTTAATAAAGGTATAATCTGAAAAAATATCAATGTTAGCGACTTTGTCTTATTGTTACAAGTATGCTAATTTAGCGGGTTTTTCAATTACTATATTCAGCCCAAGTATTTTCTTTAGTTGATTTCTGATCATAACTATTTTCTTTTTCATTTTTTTTATCGACCACTGGTTTCTACGGGACATGCCGTCTCGAAATATAGATGTTCTCATCATATGTAAAAGAAAGGACAACTGATCCATGGTGGTTGTCAATACATAAAACCTGTAGGCCAGCAATATTAGAAACAGAGGAGATCATTACAAACATTTTATCTTGTTATTGGACAAATTGTATGTCCAATACAAAATGGGATATCAAAAGTAAACTATTGGAAGAAAAAAATTAAAACAATAAGACTGATTCTCTGATGTATACTCTCCGTGGATAAGGAAGTGGTTCGTAATTTTTGGGGTGAATTTGTGGGTTCATATATCTCGTTCAATGGAAGAATTCTCCCATTGAAAAACGAATTTTGCTATTGAACAAGACAAAGAGCTCACAAATATTTATTTAAAAAATTACAAACCATTTTGTCCACGAGTGTACAATCAAGAAATAAATCACGCCTATAAGCGATACTGAATATATTTGCATAAAAATAAGTATATACAGGCTTTTTAAATCGCTCAGTACGAATCTGATGTGAAATCTTTAAATGTAAAATAACAGATTCGATATAGCAACCAAAAATATAATAAAAGTAATTATTGTGTCAAATTTCGATTCTTTTACTGGCATATTGAATTTTTCGTTTTGAATTTTGCGGATTTGAGCAGATTTTTGCAGATTTATATATATTTAGCAACTTTAAAATCTATATATACTTATTTATTATTAGTATATTCAAATAGGCATTATATGAAATTATACACAGCTAATGACTAATGAACGTCTAGTTTTTAACTTAAAAAATTGAGGTTTTCAGTTTGTTCTATATGTTTATTTGTTTATATGTTTCCTTATAACTCGAAAATCGTTAGAACTATTACGATAAAGCTTATAACTTGTTCAATATACTTGTTCAATAACTATATATTATCTATATAGTTATTAGATTAATATAATTACGTGTAATAAATTACCCGTAATTAATTAATATGATTGATATAATTACGGGTTTGTCCAGGTGTGTGACCTGGAATTTGTAATTCTACTTTCTTAAAAGTTCAAGAATATTTAGAGATACAAGATAAAATTTTCATTTTTAATCAATTTCAAAAACAAACTTTTAGTAAATAATTAAAAAGTATGAAATAAGAAACTTGAAAAAAAAGTAAAATCTTCAAAGACTTGAAAAACACTAAAAGCTTTGAAATATATAATTTTGGATTAATATATCCCTATTATATATATATTTTTTTTGTCGTAAAAATAACTTTTCCAGGTTTTTCCAAATTTTGCGACTTCTTTTTTGATGACACGGCACGTGCATCTGAATTTGTATAGTTTTTTATCACTTTATCGTGATTGATCGAGTTTGCATTGTCACATTCTTCATTCTTAACATCTTTTGTGGTTGTTGTATCAATGATTAAATGTAACAGGAAATAAATTGATTATATGATTTCTTTGCGATACACGTATCGTAAGTTTTTATATATTAAGAGAATACTTCAAATTATATATTATGTATTATATATTATATATTATATATATATATATATATATTTTGCTATAATCCTATTATATTATTCCTCTGCGATACAAAATTAAAAAAAAATAATATATGATTATTGACTCAGTCACAGATTTTCATGTCCACTTCTAATATCGTTAGACTATTAGAATAGGATTTTAGGTTAAAATTATTTCATATTTTTTGAGGTTTTTAAGTTTCTTGAAAACGGTTTATTTCTTTTTTTAATTTTTTATTATCGATCAAAATATTAAATTAAACTACGACCTTGTATTGGTCCTTATAAGTATGATTTGTTTTGAGTAAACTATTGCCTCATGATCGATAACAAAAATTATTTTGTTATATAACAAAAATTGTTCAGAACTTATTATAAGTTATAAGATGCATTCCCATTTTCATCTCGAAAATATAAGCGTATATTAGTTGTGTTTCAAACGCAAAAGATATAATAGAAGCGCAAATAAACAAAAGAAGGAAAGAAGTTTGAAAATTAATTAAGCTACGTACTTGTTCAGGTTGTCCTCATAGAGCGAGTGAGTAATGTACTTTGTGCAGTCTAGTATATTAGAATAATTTAATTTGCAATTGTCGCATCTTTCAATCGAGTTAGCTTGCGACTTTGGATATTTATCCTCTGGCAGTTTTGTCTAATAAGAAAATAGAGTCTTTTAAATACTACGATTACGTACAAATTATCATATAATTACAAGCTAAACAATGGACTCAAGTGAAAACATTGATAGATTGTGAAGCATTATCTCACCTTGTGTTCATTTTCATTAGTGTAAATGAATTCCAGCTTTAGATCATTCAACAAATGTGTCATCTGCACTGTCGCCTTTTCCTTCTGAATTATCTTATCCTCACTGAACTCTATTTTTCTAACTACACTGTTAAATTTGTTGTTTAATATCTTATCGAAGGCGTTCTCGTACTTCAAGATGTTCTTTTCATTAGGATTATGTTTCTTCAACCATGCGTTCCGTATTTGGGATAACCTTTCCATTCGTTTTTCTAAATCTGCAAGTTTTAATTTCAACTTTGTGTTCTTTACAACCTCCTTTGACTGATCAAAAATAATCTTAGCATTTGTCGTAAAAATAACTTTTCCAGGTTTTTCCGAATTTTTCGACTTCTTTTTTGATGACACGGCACGTGCATCTGAATTTGTATAGTTTTTTATCACTTTATCGTAATTGATCGAGTTTGCATTGTCACATTCTTCATTCTTAACATCTTTTGTGGTTGTTGTATCAATGACTAAATGTAACAGGAAATAAATTGATTATATGATTTCTTTGCGATACACGTATCGTAAGTTTTTATATATTAAGAGAATACTTCAAATTATAAATATTTCCACTATTATATATATTCCATTATGAAGAAAGGACTTTGTAAATGAAACGTTTCTGATCATTTAAATAAATTATTGCTAAAAAGAAAGATTCGTACATAATTCATCGATACGAAGTAATACGATACGACACAGGTACCATGATTTCAGTAAAATTTTCATTTAAAGGGAGGTTTAGATAACCGATAAAAAATAAATTTTCTTTTATGATTTTACAAATTTTTTTTTTTCAAACCCAAACAGCACAAGATGTCCTGGGGATGTCCTGATGAGGACGTAGAACGTCCCCAGGACATCCTTAGGACATGTTCTGCATGTCCTTTGGATATCTGTGCTGTTAAGAAAGAAATTAATATAGATATCAATATATGGGGTTTTGACCACTATTATTTATTATTATTTTAAGTAAAATTAAAAAAAAATTATAAAACGAAAGTCCGTCCAGGTTTTTTCGTGTTACGTGCGATGTCGTCGGATGTCTCTAACTGGTAGACAACACTGCAGCTCTACAATAATAATTTGCTATATAATAATTTGAAATTAAATTGGACAATTTAAGAACAATTTTAAATTTGTTGAAGGGTCAATCTGAACCTTTAAATAGAAAATTTCCAGAATTTTAGTATTTTTTTCGAGGACACTAAATAAAAAAGACAGAGAAAAAAAATTATTTGTAACTTCAAAGTGCCGCCATTTTGATAAATTTCGACTGGCTGTATATAACGAAAGTTCATCCCTCCAATAAGTTTAACGACAGTTTTTAAATTTTCTTGGTCCCATTGGTTTTAGATTATTATCGCGAGCTATAATATTCACCAGTTGTTCACGAGCTGTAATATTTGTTGTTTAACCATAGTTAGAGGCGTACGGCGACACCGTGTTTAACACAAAAAACCTGGACGATAAAATTTCAATTTTTTAGAGATAAGAATATGATTTTTGTCTGTTTGAAGCAATGTTAAATATGTATGGTTAAAAACCTATATTGATATTTTTGTTAATCTCTTTGAAAAAATTCTAAAAATCTATTTTTCAACTATCTAAATTTGAATCCTCTCTTAAAAAGCCTGGCTTATTCTGACATATGAATAGCTACATACGATGCCTAATAATTTTCATTTCCAATTGATCGATCTTGTGGTTTTGTGTCTGTATCTTCTTGTTTGTTTCCATGTTTCCCTTTGTAACCAGAATTTTCAACGCATTGTCTAAGCGCGTCATACCATTCGCAATAACGTGGAGATTTGGGTCTGTGGAGCGATTAAAATGGCAGAGTAATTTCTCTAAATTTTCCTCTACTTCCGAATGCAACAGATAGTCTAATTGTTTATGCGCCATAATTTTGGTGTCGCAGGAATATTTATCCGTTTCATCTACGTATGCTTTGATGCTATTGCATAACCACTTCATGTTTAATTTCAGAGTTTCAATTGTCTTTCCACGTACATAGGTTGCGATTTGATGTATTGCTATTTGTTTTATTCCATTTATTTCGATTTTGTAGAACTCTCTTCGAAAAGTCCGGTCTTTAATATAAGACATCAACTTGAGTCCCGTTAAAACTTCCGTTTTCTTGCTCCCTTTTTTATCACATATATACCAGTCCACTGTCTCTCCCAAGTTCTGTGCCTCGAGATCCAGTTTGTTAAGTTTCTTCAGCTGTGAGTAGTAACGCGTCAGGAAACTGTTGAATTTCTCCTGCTGCTTCATTTTCTTCCAGCGTAACATATCTTCAAGCATATCGATATATCGATTCTTCGCCGCCAGATTCCTCTCTCGAAAAGTCACCCTCATGTCACTCGACGCGTTTTCTGACAATATCTTGTATTTGTTCATTGTGTATAACAAGTGCAGGAATTCCAAACTACTATGATAAGAACGTGCATCGTTCATCAATATAGTCCTCCCGATGTTTATTTCGTCAATCTTGTTCATTGTAGGTTTCATCATGTTTTCCATTAAAGTTTTTGTATGTTGATATTCTTTCTTTTCGTGTAATTCTTCCGTCAAAGAATCTACAAGATCATAATGACACATTATTTTGAAAGCCTCGTGAAGTTTATATTTCTTAGGGTCAAAATGAAAGTAAATTGTTTCAAATTTATTCTGGAAAGCGCTGCTGAAGACTTCGCTGAAAGTTTCCCCAGAAGTCTCATTGAAAGCTTTGCCAAAAGGATATTTGTAATATTCTCGTTGGTATTGCTTCGGTAATATTTCAAAATATATACGACTCCATGACAATCTTTTGACAAGTCTTTCATATGCGTCAAGTATTTCCTCCATATAGATCTTGTTGAATATGTCGTGTGACGGTTTCTTGCGTTTGACGAGCTTCATTTTTGCGATTTTCGATCAACGACGATGTCTTTCTCTCCAGCTAGATATCGATTCTTCAGTCTGCTCGTCACTGAGAATGGCTCGTCCTGGTAGTGACGAGTTTCCAAAGTCGTCAGCACCGTTATAAATAATTACTACTTTCCTAATTATTTTTCGAGGGAAGGAGAACTTTTTCGTGAACAAACTGGAAAGTTCCGAAAGAGACGATCGGTTCGTACGTTAATAAATGACTCACGCGTGCTTCTTTCCTTCGTAAGATGTTTATTTAATCCAATATCCGATAGCGCTTGCAGAAGGGAACGATCAGCGTGTCAACAATAAATACACTCGTCGGACAATAGACAATATGTGTTTATTTAATAGTCTCGCTATATAGATACTTATACGACTTGTCGCTCTAACAGATCGCTGCCTACAACGTGACGGCCGAATTTTATTGTGCCTGGCCCTACTAGTCTTTATTGTGCTTGAATCTATGATGGGTCGCGACGCGTCTCTCACTTCTCCGGTTTTACATGGTTACTCGGTGTGAATCTCCTCTCGTCTCGCACACCGTCGACTGTCAACTAACGAGATCGGCTTATACCTCGCAGTCGCGGGACATCGCGCTACACGAGATCGGCTCACGTGGCCGAGGTGATCCGTTACTTCGTGGTCGTCGACGTATCGCCATGTACATATACACTGTCTGTCATCAGAATTCAACGAACATATAACATTTATACGTTTTCAACTCTCTCACATTTGTCCCAAAAATAAAATCAATCTCCCCTGTCGGTTACCTCTCCTATTTCTCTTTTTCTCTCTTTCCCTGTCTATGTATATATGTATGTGTGTGTATATATGTATATGCATATATATATATATATATATATATATATATATATATATATTTCAAATTTATATTTAAATTTATCTATTTTTTAAGTACAGAGATTGAAACACACTTAATAAATATACAAATATAACGTTAAATCTATATTTAAAAATTTCTCTTCTTTCTTACTCTCTCTTCTTAAATATATCATCACTAAAATTTCCAAGGCGTGAAACAATTTAGTAGACACTCAGCGTTCTTTAAACATCAAATGGGTGTCTCGTCACTAAACCGTATTGCGTGACGCGACAGCGCTATTAATCGGCAAACGCAAAAGGGATCGTGCCCTGCGAATCTATTAACGTCGACGAACGCGGCGATCAGCGCGTGACGGTCAATTATCAACGGAAGACGACCGGTTCACCAATATAATAACATCGATAGATCTTCTACTCCTACGCAACGCGATATATGCAATAACAAAACGGGCCTGGCGCGCGCGCCTTATAAGTCGTTACTATTTAACAGATACTCTCTATGTACACACGCGTGTATATGCTACGTTTACGTTTCTGAAACATCCTGAAAGTATCGCCGCGTGATCGCCGTGATCGTCTGTGCTACGTTATCCAGTGTCCGACAGGAAATTTTCCTATGAAGCATACGAACTTTTCCTCCTACTTTCCGCTTTTCTTTCTTTCTTTCCTTTCTTTCAGGCGATCGTCTTGCCATCGCAGAAACGGATCGTCGCAGCGAAGATAATTTCGCCCCGAATTTCGTAAGACCTCGCGCCTCGCTGATCGTTGAGAGTGGAAAGTGTCGTACAAACAGTCGTTTGTTAAACGATTGACACACTTTTTCGCACGTGAAATTAGCGTCGCTCGAAATGATCACAATTACGAACATAGTGCTGATGAGATTGTAGACAGTATTCGGTAACGAGAGCTGTCATTTAGAATCTATGTTTCCGCTGAATGTTGCCTAAAAATCCCGCACTCTCTGTATTTCAACGAATTATGATATACGAAGAAAATTTTATAGTAAAAATTACTATTGAATTTTGTAACTGAAGAAGAGGTCGTCATTTTGCATAGTTGACTATCCTTTCATTTCATATGTGTTATTTATGTTTCAGGAATTGGAATATGCTGTTAAATAATCTGCTGTTTCTCATATAATTTCTTATGTTTCTTAGCAAGATAGGTCTTACTGGCAGTCTGACAAAGAGTAATCGTGATCATTTGAAGCGACGCCAATTTCACGTGCGAGAAAGTGTACAAATCGTTTAGCAAACTACCCGCACGTTGACGGCGTTTGTTATTGTACGGTGACTCGGCTGTCACGTCACAATGTACAACACACACGAGCTTCGTGAGCTCGAACGAAATCATTCGCGATGTCTGCCACCGTGAATTCACCCCGTCGTTCTGTGCACTTTCGTCTACTTTCCATTCGACATGTTTGTTGCGTCTAATCACGGGATTTTGACTTTGTCTAACATATCTGTTTTTATTTACGTGATGAGAGAGAGAGAAAGAAAAAAGGGATGTAACTCTTAGCTCCGAGATCAGTGTCCTTTTGTTCTTACTGGCCTGACTTTCTTTTCCTTGTTTATTATGTGTGATATTAGTGATATCACACATGTATATTGGAGCTGATTTCTTCTCTCTTTTTTTTTTCTCTCTCTCTCTCTCTTGCCTAAATAAACGTTTCTTGAGAACATTTAGAATCTATGTTTCCGCTTAATGTTGCTTGAAAATCTCGCATTTCTTATATTTGTTATGTTCCTTAGCAGACATTATAGGCCTTACTGACAATCTATTCCTGCACTATTAGAAACATAGTGAAATTGAAAACAATTTACATGTAAAAAAGGCTAAAATATTCTCTCTCAGTGTAATGTTTAAATTGTGATAATTTCAACCATATAATTTACACTCTGTGCAATGTTTATATTGTGATAATTTCAACCACACAATTTCAATTATACTAAATGACTATCAAATTTCAAGTAACTAAATGATCATACAACTTTAATGATATGATAATAACGATATGATAACTGAATTGATGAAATTTATGTAGTTTCAAATTATATAGTTATATAGTTTTAAAGTAGACAATTTTAATTTATTTTTATCGTGATCATAGGAGCGCGCGACGCGAGAACGACGGTGTGATTCCACGTGCGAGATCGTATAACCGAGAAGCTCAGCCAGACACGAGAGCACGCACAAGTACCTCAATTTCTCATATCTTCCTCTCTTTCTTTGTTCCTTTCTCCCTTTTCTCTCTTTCTTTTTTTTGTTCTTTTTGCTTTTTACGACAAACGTGACTCGTTATATAATGGCACACAGCATGGCAGTTGCAACAATGTACTTCAATAAACTGTTATTTTAATTAGCTTATCTCCCTTAACTTACTTCGGTAAACCTTATTCTAGCTTCGTCGCACTTCTCATTAATCAGCTTGTTCCTGACTTGCTCATGCAATCCTCGATTTCCGCTCCTACCGCCGAAAATCGTCGAAAGCCGCGCGACCTTTACACGAGAGGGGGAAATTATTGGAGAAAAATGAACGTGCGGCAGCACACACACATACACGCACACAACACAGTTCCGACGATTTCCGACGGAATGAGCGCGACATTCGCTCGAAATACATGCGACACTTTATTGGTTAAGCGTCGCGAAGACTAGGCGAAACAGAATCTATCTCATCCGCGCTTTTGCTCAATCACCTGCACTCAGACAAAAAGACAAAGCGATGACAATTATATGGGAGAGAGCTATGCGAGTTTTATATGAAGAATTGTAATGTGCATAATTTAATAAACTACATACATTGAATCTGCACACAAAACTCATATAGCTGTCACCTACAATTACCATTGCCGTATCTTCTTCTCTAAAGTCCTTATTCTGAACTCACTTTTATCGATAAAAATAGCTGAAAGCTGATCAGAAGACTTATAAGTAGAATGACTAACCGTCCCGAAAGAAAATAGATTTTATGTGGATTTTTCATCGCTCTTATGTTCCGTTGGTGATCGTACTTTTTTGTTTGGCAATTTTATTAGCTTAGTTTTAGAATGATGATAATATTGAAAAAATAATAAAAGGTTATGTTCTGTCGATTGTTTGATATCGACCTAATAATGAATGACCACATTTTACCTACCTACTTATCTAATTTATTCAACCCATTTTAAAAATTAATATATAAAAAATCTATATATGTATAATAACCCAGGAACGGCATATACATACATTAATATTACAAGATATCTGGTAATGAAAAAGACTTCTGACTTTTTTGATACCTCTACTTTTTAAGGTCGATATCGCGAAATTGATTGATTGAGAGTCGGTGATTCTACTTATAAGTCATAGATGATCATCGATAAAAAAGAGTTTAGAATAATAACCTAAGTGCATTCATTTATTCACACACTCGCTAATTCGTTTGCATTCACACAACACACACGTTCTCTCTCCCTTTCTCTCACACACACATTCTTTCTTCACTTGCTCAAACTTTCGACTAATATATCCGTTTGCATGTTATTATCATTCGTTCAAGTATATACACGGGATCGAAAGTTGTATTGCGTCCTTTTTGGAGATTAACGATAAACGTTATACAATAATGTAATCATAGTGTCTTTCCCATTCACTTTTTCCTTCGTTAAGCTTGTTATCGATCGTTTACTTAGCGTTAAATTACGTAGAAATTGGATAATAGAAAAGGAGCGGGGTGGACCACGTCGTACCGGCGTCGATCTTCATTGGATGCATTGACTGTCGCGCGGTTTCTCCCCCCGGCGAAGGGAGCTTTTATTTCGGACGCGCGGACACACGTGAGCGTCATGTTGGCAGCGTGATACGTTAAGAAGAAAATCGACAACGAGAGAAAGGTCGAGTGTAACGATTCGGACGCGCCGGTGTCTGTCCGCCTGACTTTCTCGGAGGAGCAAGGAGGTGTCCCTCGCGGCTACTTTTCAATCATTGATTCGTTGTGCGACCTCGTTATTCGTTAAATAGCGAGTTGAATGTCTCCCGACGCGGAACGTTGCTTCGACATTATCGTCATGTTTTTCATCGAGGCAGCATCTGATGAGGTTTGCCGTAACGCCGGTACGACTTCTCTTACAGTATTCACGTAAAAAGTATGTTTTTTTTTTGGTATTTCCTTATCGTGGACACACTTAACAGTCGATTTGAAAAATAACGTTATATAAGACCGTTTTTCCCATTTTCTCCCTCTGTTTTGTCTCGTCCCTTTCATTCAACCTAACACTCTCGTCGCACTCCGCAGTTTCGTCTTAGGATCACTTGAGTGGCCTATAAACGATAAGATTCTTGAGGGGAGGATCTCGATAATCGCCGATATGCCGGCAACGATCGCACGGCCGAAAAATCCATCGTGATTTGCGCGATTAAAGTAAGCCTTGCGTTTCTTCACCGAGTGACACTTTTTGAGAGGACGACTTTAGGCGTTGACAGGACATGCATCAGATGATCTATCACGGAACGAGTGTAAATCTCGACGAAATTGAGTGTCGACCGTTTTTAACGCAATGATTCTGAAGGCCGACTTCTCAACCACAATTCAGCTCGGATTCTTAAGTTTCAGATCCGTTCGAGAACACACGTTAACCGCGTTCGGCAGAGAGCTGCTTTGCAATTGTTGTAAAATTCGTGAATTTGTGATTGATGTTGCTCTTAATCTTGGCTGAATTTAGTAGCAGATATCTCGATATCAGATTCACAAATTTTAGAACAATGTTTTAGAACAAGTTGCAAAGCAATTTTCCCTGCTGAACGCAGCCATTCTTACAACAGAGTTCAAATTTAAATCTAAATTTGAATTATATATAACACTATGTTACATATTTTGACCAATTTCTTGCACTTTTGTCATTCTTTAGTAAATTGAGCCCACTTAATACGAATGCGATCAGAAACTGTCACGTTAGGTTTCCAAGAAAAATAAAAATTTAAGTTCTTAGAAATGTGTTTTTGTCTATTTTTATAAATTGGTAACGCATATAAACCAGACGTGTCAACAACTTCGAGAAGACCTATAATTGAAGCTTGAATCTTTATCTTTATTTTAAAAGATCGGAAACCTTCGCAGAAACTACCCTCATAGGAGAATAAAGTACTGACTCATAAAATACAACAAAAGTAGCTAAATTATTATTCACACTCAACAAATTTCTGGATAATTTCTGTTTGAGATGGGTTCAAATAATAACATTGTAGGAAAAAATACCCCATTTATACATATTACAAATACTATCCTTGAAGGCGGTTGAAATTGTACAAACATCCTATAGAACGCAATTAAAAAATTTTATATCTCTTGCAGAATGGGATTTTGATTAAACATTTGTTATAAAGAGACAATGGTACTTAATAGAGGAATTTTCGTGGTCGCTGATTATGAATATCCAGAAATTTGTTGAGTGTAAAATATAATTTTGCTATTTTGTTGTATAAATTTGACATTGCTCCATCTCCCCGTGAGGGTGGCTTCTGTGAAGTTGCACTTTAAGTTTCCAGCTTTTTAAAGTGGAGACGAAGATACAAGCATCAATTTCAGACCGTTCCGAAGTTACTGGCACGTTTCGTTCGTGCGTTGCGAATTTGTGAGCAAAAGTTGGCAAAAAAATATTTTTAGTTAAACTCCTATTTTTGCGGAAACCTGACGTGATGGACAGTTCTCATATTTGTACTCAGCGCACTGATTTACTAAGGAACGATCCCTTATGGCAAGAGTTCAAAATCTTGTAACACAGTGTTTGTCATTGAGAAATCGGCCTCAGGTGGAGAGCGCGCGTATGCTTTATTTGCGGACGTAATAGTGGCCGACGCGGTGAGGAGGCGTTAATTAACAAACGATACGAATGGTTGAACCATTAGGGACGAAGATTAAGCGACGATTAATTGGCGAGTAGAGCTTCGGTCTAAAGTGTAACAAGTGCTTTCATTACGGCTACCGCCTACTAATAACTCTAATGACTTAGGCGCGATCTGTCGCGAAATCCACTCGCGTCCTCCCCCTCGTACGTTCCCCTAATCCCGAGCTGTTCACTCTTGCCCGACGCGAACGACAAATTCTACGACATCAATTGTATCGAAAGAATCTCGTGGAGAGAAAGTGATCGGATAATATTTCGTTACTATTATAATATTTAAGTTAGTAGAATCTAATATGTCAACAAGAAATTCGATCTGATACTTTGTCTGTCGGTGGCTCTCATGTTACTCCCCCGTTCGTCCGCGCATTCCTCGCGTTTCTTTTCCCGCGCAACGGAAACTCCTGCAAAAATTTAGAATATTATCGAGTTACACGGTATATATGTGTATATATAATTATATAATATAATATATATAATATATATTATATATATTAATATATATATATATATATATATATATATATATATATATATATATATATATATATATAATATATATAATTATATATATATATATATAATATATATAATTATATATATTTTATATTATATTATATATATTATATATATTATATCATATATATTATATATATTATATATATTAAAGAGTCAACATCGAACGGTTAAACTTCCCGATATTTACAATACTTCTCTAATCAAGATTATAAGTAGGACTTGAGAGAGAATCTGAAGATATGTCGACGTGCATCGTCATCGTCGTGAAAGCGAAACGATTAATCCGGACTTAGTTGGCTTAGTTGGCGGATCGCTATCAACAATTAAGAAATTCTACATTGAAAAAATAACGTTGTCAGACTTTGAAAATCGGAGATTGATCTCTGAACGAGCAGACAAGACGTACATTACACGGCATTCACGCATCACAAACACTCGCTCTTAACAACTGTGTCGATTAACAATAATATTATTTTTTTTGCTTAGCTATATGATGTAACACGATGATATAGGCTTGATATGACGGTGGCACACGTTAACTAGTTATTTTCTTTTATTCCTCCCTCTCTCTTTCTTCTCTTCCTCTTCACCTCGTCCTCAATCTCACGACTCGATCCTTCGCTCAAAATGGAACGCGTTATCGGTCTCAGTACGGTTTAAACACAATTTTCACGATACGGTTCGAAGCGTAGTCAGTGTTCGATAAGAGAATTTGTTTTCTGGAATTATTTAAAGACAAATTTCTTCACTTGCTAGACATCGACTGCGTTCCAAACTGTGTGTCGAAAGACAGTTCTAACTGTATTGAAACCAAGCGTACGAAATCAGTCTTGAACGTGTGGAAACATGAAGTGATGTTGTAATATTTATGAGAATTCAAGAATTACAGAATTGGAAGTATAAAACGAAGACTCTTCGATTATTTGTTATCTCAATATATCTTCCCTCAGACAGTACATATGATGACCTAAAGATGTCCAAAAAACGTCTAAAAGAGACAGAACGTCTTTTGGACATCTTTAAGATATCTTTTAGTAGATTGTGCAGTCTAGTTTAGCATCTAACATCTTTGCAAAAAAAAGGAATACATGAATCTCTATGAAGAATAAGATAACACATGTTGTTGGTCGTGGTTAATTCTAGATGAATAATGTTCAGACACTACGAATCATTTTCAACGATCATCAGAGGATCATTTGATCTTCACTCGACCAAATTTAAATTTAATTAGATTCAAGTAGACGCGAGGAAGTCTTGCTCTGGCGATATTAATTAAGGCCGCAGTTACGCAAGAATGATCCAACCCATACGTTTCGAAAAAAATAAACATAACAATTTGATAGACGACTTAAAAAGTGTAGAGATAGCACTGAGGTTCTTCATAATCGTTCAAAAAGTCGAGCATGGCCAATTTTTTTTTCTTTAAGGATATTTGTTGACAAGCTTAATTAAAAAAAAAATAAATGGGTAAAATAGACGCAATTAGTTAAAAATAGTGCTAATAGAAAATAAAAAGTTTTTTAATTGATTTCGTTTTCAGGCCTCATTTATATGAGGCTTAAATCTTACTTGTTTTGTGTAAAAAAACATGTGAACACTTATTTATTAGTAACAAGAGTTCAAAAATTATAATTTTGTGGATTAGATCATTCTTGCGTAATTATGGGCAACTCAAATAATTTCATGTGCAAGTGCGTCAATTTGATGTGTGAGACCAAAGGTCGGAAGTGCGAGAAGAGGTTGCCGCGATCGCAGGTGTAGATCGGCGGCGCTTCGCCGCGATAAATATTCACGCTGTGCGCGACACGCACTTTGATTCCAGCTTATATATTTATATTTTTATATATATATATATATATATGTATGTATATATAGGTGTGTCTTAACGTTTTTAAATATATTAGAGTCGGGTTAAGTAACTCTCTGTTAATCCAAGTGGTTCATTCAAACGTTTCGTCGCGATGCGAAGAGACGCGGAAGTGAAATGAAACGGGAACCGGTTAGCCAGCAACGAGAGAAGCGCTTCGGTACCCGCGGCACTCGCGAGGGGGAACGATATTCAGGTATTAACGATAAAATTCTTTGCATTTTCAACATTTTGCAATTAACTCACCGCGATGGTAGTCGCGACGGTATCAGTTGCGAGCGAGCGAGCGATCGAACGATCGAAGAATGTGCCAACCAGCGGATCTTTCTCTTTCTCTCTGACTTTGTCGTGAATCCTTTGCACTTGCGATTCATCGTCGCGCAGTACACGGGAAAAAAGTGCTGTTGTACCAATAGAAATTGCCGCCATCGCCGTAATTGGAAAAGTGAATCTTCTTGATTTGACAGCAATATCATTGAAACTAATACATGTATTGTTTCGATGACTTAAGTAGTTTCAATGTCATTGTTGTCGAATTAAGATTTACTCCAATTATGGCGATGTCGGCAATTTCTATAGATACAACAGCAATTTTTTCCTGCAAGGAGCCATCTGTCCTGTCGGCTTTGCGAGAATGTTGCAACAAGCTCCGGACCACAGGTTCACAACAAATTTCATTAACGATACGTAACTATATATGTACGCGCATAATATAACGGCCCTACGTTAATCCTGCGAATGTAAATCCTGCGAATCCGTCCTTAAGCAGGAATCCGAGGAATTGTGACGCGCACGATTGAAGTTGGAATTCAGACAGTATAAATTTCTGAAAGAACTGTCTTTTAGAGCTGTATTAATAATTGCTACTTGTACTTTGTCTCATATAAGATACTCAGATTTTTATTCAGATTTAGAAATATAAATTTTTTTTTAATTAAATTATATATATATATATATATATATATATATATA